AGAAGTTATTTGCACAATTAGTGTTACTGATAACTGTGCTGGAACGACATAAAAACGGGGTTTATATTATAGTGAGGCGAAAATACTAGCTTCTTTGTTTTCATGCGTGCTTTCTCTCCTCTCTCTCCTCTCTGTGTTTGTCTAGCTCTAGATGTGGCACGGCAGTCAGGACGGAGCGGAAGCAGTCAGGTACTGGAAAGGTCCGATCGTGAACGAGCGAACCCTGGCTAACGGGGAGGAGCTGCCACGTACCACCATCAGCCACCTTTCAACAGCCGAGCTAAAACACAGATGTGAGACTCATCTAGCCGCTCGATCAAGTCGATTCCTACCAAGTACCACTACGACGAAACCGGTTCGGTTTTGTTCGAGGAGTATACCCAACTCCCCGAGTACTACCTGACTCGGGTTGAAAACCGGGATCCTCCGAGAACGGCTGGCGATATCATGAAACTGGTCAAACCGGATGAGCTCGTTGAACTCGGGTCGGCTCTCGACGAAAACTCGACTACTCCTAGAAGCGATGCACGGCACTGGTGGGAGATGGTACGCTCCCGATTGAAATCTCCGAGACGGCGCTCTACCAGCAGCTAAGATCCTGAGCTCTGACTATGACTGGCTGCACATTGACGGTTACGTCGGGAACTACACCACGGATCTCCGCTGCTACAGAGAAGGGCCGACGCCTCCCTCACCTTTCTCGGGTCGAGTCTCGGAAACTACACCAATGAGACGCGCGCAGAGTTCCTCGCAATGTTGGTGTAACGCACTCCAACCGGGCGACGCCCTGCTGTTAGGCATCGACCCTCGTCAAAGACGAAGAAACGATGGTCCTGGCCTATAACGACTCGGCCGGTATCTCCGCCCGCTTCAATTTGAACGTTCTCGTCATGCTAAATCGAGAGCTTGGTGCCGATTTCGACGTGAGCAACTTCACCCACTCTCCCGTGTGGAATGCCGAGAATTCGGGAGTGGAATCACACATCAGAGCCAATAAAGGGATGACCGTTTCTCTCCCTGGCCTCGGCACCAGCATCGAGCTGGGCGAGGGAGAAGGGATCTTTCCAGCGATATCGTGCAAGTTCACGAGAGAGGGTGTCACGAGAGAATTGGGAGACGTGGGGCTGGAGGTGACTCAGTGGTACACCGACAGTGCGGCAATGTATGGAGTCTTGGTCGCAGCACAGAAAAATTGACTTTTTAGATACTAAGTACTAAGCAAAACAGAGAAACTGGTGTATTGATTTTCATTCATTCTGGTGTACATGACGTGCGCACTGAACGTATGATTGAACTTCCATCAAAACATGCATGGATGTAGTGTGTACGTATAAAAGTCTGTTGCATTCGCTCACAAGAAATGGCTATATGATAACCTGTGCGTAATATATACACCTATGTTATATATGAGTAATAGCTATAGTATCACGTCACCTATGATGTTGTATTGAGCTTTCTCCTAGTACAGAGCAGAGGTGTTTGAGACGCTGCTGCATCTCAGGGATCCCCGCCAGCTGGGCCTCGAGTCTCTCCTTCTCCTCTCTCAGCCCTAGCCTCGTGGCCATGTCCAGCTCCTCCATCCTCCAGTCACACTCCCCTTTGAACTGAAGCAGGTGAGTGTGGAATCTCCTGTTTTGAGACAGTGAGTGCAGCAGTGAGGCAAGGTTCACAATATGTCGCATTGCCCTGTCGCGCCGTATCGCGCCGTGCCGTGTCATGTCGTGTCGCATTCTGCCGTGAAGATCCTCGTCCGTGACGCGGCAAAGCGGCAAGGCGCAACGCGACATAATTATTATTGTGAACCCAGCCAGTGTGTGTGCCGGTGTGTGCTTGCGTATGTGACCAAGCCACCTTGTATCATAGCAGAAACTTGCAAGAGATGCAACTATATCGTAGCCCTGGAAATATTAAGGAATTTTGTGCAGTTGGTGATTGGGACGTTTAAGAATCACTTGACTCTGTATCACACCCTACAGGTGGTCTGTACAAAGTTAGATCATACCAGAGAGAGGGTCTATGTGAGATGGTGAGTAGTGTGATGCCAGCGTCCTTTGCAGCCTGGAAGATGCCTCCCTCCACGATTATATACTGACTGCACTGGTACACTCATCCAGCAGTGCAAACTTGGGCCTGAAAATTATATATAGAAAAAAGTGTGCATCAGAACTACTGAAGTCACTATACTGTAGTATGTATACACGTAAAATTGCTGCAATCAGACTCATGTTTACTCTAATGCGTAGCATTTGTTCAGTTACAGTAATACAAGACGGAGTTGCTGGTGAATGGTGTTACCTGTGGTAGAAGATTCGTGCCATTCCCATTCTCTGCTTCTCTCCTCCGGACAGAACATCCTTCCAGTCAATGACTGCATCCCATCCTAACAGATTGTATGGTGTTTACATGTATCACATGACATCCTTTCTCCGCAGAGGAGAAACTATAGCCATGTGTGTTTCACTTATGACATTTGCACGTATCTCTGAGTGTCAGGCTGGTATGTACAGGCGAAAATTGAACTGCTCGTGCTTGCCCACCAAAATGCATTGCTTGTACATATTTATATAAACCCCTGAGGGATGTACACAGACGAGTGTTACAAACTATGAACTCTGAGCGTACAACAGTGTAAGTGTGTAGCTATATATATAATTATGTATAGCTACATAAACCTCCGAAGAAAGGGTTACATACTGGGGGATGTAAAAGATTGTCAACTTATAGTGTGTGTGTGTAAATCTGAGGGACGTAGAGAATGTTTATGTGTGTATATAGACCTCTGAGGTATGTAGAAGAGTGTATATCTCTTTCAGTCACGAATTCGGCAGCAACTCTCCCCAACGCATATGCATGCGTCCAAATCGACACACCCCTTTCATTCCGCGCACGCGCGCTGTGGCGGTCTTTCTTTCTGCCGTTTTACTGACCAAAGCACAGCGTCTGTGCCTCCCTTTCATCCTGCTGAGACATTTATGACATGTCTCACGCAATCCGGACCTTGTTTGTTTTTTTAAGTATTGAAAGGGTATATAGATGAAAGGAACATCAAAGCTCCAACCTACACATCCAAGTGCCGACCGACCACTTCTGAGTTGCGTGGGTTGTTTTTATGAGATAATGCCGCCATGCCCGCCGCTTACCGGGTCAGAGTTCACAAATGTGCGAGTTTTCTTGACGTTTCTGGAAGTGTGTAAATTTACAACATCTTGTGACCGAAAGGGTTTTAACCTATGACTGTGGCTTACATAGTGAATGAGTTCAAGCGATAAGGAAACATACAATGATTGAAATTGTAATCACTTCAGTCCATGTAACTGGTGAAACTGCAAAACAGGTGGTCTTGCACAGCCTCACTCTGCAGACCCACTGTCTCGGTGACTTGGCATTGATGGCACCTATCCCTCTTCACGTTTAGTACTGAATCTTTCTAAATAACACACTCTAGCACTCCACCACTAGTCTCAATGCACTGAATATCTACATATCTACAACATGGAGATGTCTCATAAGTGCCCAAAATTTACCCTTAGACATGCACTCCTGCAATGCTGATAATTATGCCATGTCTACTCCAGTAATGCAAGGCAATGTCATTAGAATTGCAAAACTCAGAAAATAATCAAGAAACTCAACACCTCTGCAACACTAACACTTTGCCTCAACAAAAAAACACAATAGGAAAAAACACCGGAAGTTGGCCTTTGAAAATATGATCATAATAGCCCTGTGGCAATAAAACCTAGCCAAATATTGTTGTAGCTCGGCAAAAAAATATGTTCTCGGGCAAAATAATTGCTACAGGGCAAGAATGCTAGTTACTAGGGAAAAATAATTGAATGCTAGTTTCAGGGGCAGAAAAATAATATTGTAGGGCAAAAAACCTGTTCTAGGACAACAAGGCTAGGCCCTAGGGCAAAACCAATCTTCTAGGGCTAAAAAGCTAGGCTCTAGGGCTAAAATCTTGACATAGGCATCGTCACTAGGGCCAGGACCATGCAGTGCTATGGACTACTTCAACGGCTAGAGCTAACACTAGGAGCTAGAGCATCTTTCATCACACCTTTGGACGTAGAATATATCTCGGAGGCTTCCCTTCCCCCTCCAGGTGACATTTCGTCCGTAGATTACTCCACAGCTGTCATTTCTCTTCAACTGGTCACAGAGGTTAAGTACTGAAAGGGTATATAGATGAAAGGTGTAAAGGTGTAAGCTGACTGGTAGCTACAGGTCAACATACTAGCTGACCCTGAAGTTTTGGTGAAACTCAAGCAAGAGTCCCTGCATGCTGGTGTAGCAGATATACTGAGTGGAAAAGACAGTGGGTAGACTGTCTGTTAAAATAGGTTTGTTTGTAAAGCCTTGCAAATACGCAGAAAACATGCAGGGTTTTTGTGGCTACAATAAAGCTCATTAAGTCTACATGTAAAGGACGCAATGATTTTGGAAAAGGCTGCCATACCCGTTGTACAGAGCTCTTCTTTTATGAGGCAGCCTACCTGCATGTTAGCGATTCCCCAATCCCTGTTAATGAGAAGGAGGAGTGCGTTGTTGCTGAAGAAGTGCCTATGGTGGCTGGCAATAAGAATGAAGAAGGTAAAGATGCTGCCTCCAACAGTAACCTTTCTCAGGCTGGGAGTGTGGGTTGTGTTTCAGATGGGAAAGTTTCTGATAAGGGACCTCCCCGGTCTAAGTTGTGGGAGTGCTCAAAGCAGTTCAAACCAATAACTATATTTGAGGTCAAGGGCATTATTTGCTTTTGAGCAGCCTGTTGAGAAAGTCAGGCAGGCCCTGGCTGAATGTGATATGGGTTGCCCCTGTGGTCACTACACCAGATTAGTTGATTTTCTGTCTGTGGACCTTAAGGGTCACCCCATTGCTTGTTACTCAAGTGACTACTGTACTAGTAACCTGAAAATACTCAGAGCAGCTTCCACTCATTTCCCTGTTTTGAGGAGGTTCTTGGCCCATGTGACTTCTGCTGTGAATGCTCACAAGATTGTGTGACTATGCTTTGAAGAACAGTAACCACCAGAGATTGCTACAAATCACCCAGGTTGAGTCCCTCCTGAGTTGTAAGCAGAACTATCAAAAGCTCACTTCTGTTGATTGCTCAGCTCTTAGGAGGCGAAATCTAGAGGTGGAACTAGCCATTGCGCATGCAGCACTGATTGCTGGATTTGAGAAGGAAATTGGTGACTTCCCATAACATCCATGCGTTTGTTGTGAGCGTCTGCATTAGAGAAAAGTCAGTGTCTGTTGTTAGTCTCTCTGATGACTTTAACTATGAGATATGGCGTGAATTGAAGGCCCACATTTTGAAGTATCATCCAACTGTTTCGAGGTCAAGTGTTGTACATGTGCTATTACTGCAAGTGCAGGGTGAGAGGTGGGATAATGCCTGCACATTGTGTCCTCAAAGGTCTGCAGACTGTTCCCATTCCCCCAGAACTAGCTGCATTAGACCTACTTAGTAGACAGCTTATCCAGAGGGCCAAGTGTTATCAGACTATTGTGAGATTAGGTACTTACACTGGTAAAGTGCCCACATACAATTCCGTCCAGGCTTGCAAAGGCACAATGTTTTTCCTTCCCTTGCCACTAAACAAGGTCCTACCAGACACAGAGTTGTACATTATTACCAATGGTAGGCCAACCAAGAGTAATGTTGTGTGGCGTATAGTTTGGTGGATGTGAAGCATGTCAAGACTGCAATAAGAAAGTTGAGGTCCTGTAACTGGCTGTACAGAGATGTCCATGAGAAATGCATTGATGAGAGCACTAAACACATCATAGAAGTCTCAAACAATGCAACCACAGAAATGCCGAAAAAAGTGTTCCAGATGAGGTAGATTCATTTCTGGACTAAACCTGGATAGCAAGCTCTCCATTGGTTCAGACATAGACCAGTACAGACTTATGAGCATCACAGAGGACCCTATTACCAGCAAGCAACAGCATCTAAATGTGATGTGTTTCCCTGTGCCACTGCATTTAAATGTGATGTGTTTCCCTGTGCCACACTGGGAAGTTTGGAGTATTCCACCCTAGGAAAGAGAAGATTTCTCCTAGTGAGTATGTCAAATATAGGCTGCTTAACAAGGACTCGCGTTTCCATAAAGATGCACAATATGTGTTTTACCTTTTGTGGCAGAAGGAAATGCGACAACTCGCATCAGGTGTTTACAATTTGTTAAAGAGTACCAAGAGACTGGCCATGTCTGTTAGCTTGTTACTAGAGCAGGTGAACACCGCAGACGAGCAGCTAGAAGCACGTTTGTGCACAATGCTCCAGTCAGTCCATGGTACCAAACAGTTCTGGTTCCTCAGACACAGTGAGCTTAAGTGCATGATAAGAGAGTGGGGTTCACCTACCCTTTTCCTCACCTTTAGCTGTGCTGAGTATGAGTCCCCTAATATCACTGAGTTTCTTAGGAAAGTGAACAATGTTCCTCCCAGTTACCTGTCTGAGGTATTCAGTGATGGAATGGCTCTATCCAGGGTTAGGTCTCTAGATGGTCTATTACTGACAGCCTTTGATCCCCAGTCCATCAGTGTTATTGTGAGTTCCCTGGGGGAAGTAAACCGCCTCAGAAAAACCCATACACCTGACCTTCCTCTGTATGATATACCACATGTCTCTAGAACAAAGAGGAAGCTCACTGGTGTAGACAAAACTGTCGCCCCAAAGTGTAAAAAAGGTCAAGGTCCCCCACCGATAATAGTCCCCCAGCCTGTAATGTGTGGTTACTGAGCAAGTAATTATTACCGCGCAGTTCGCCGGGCCTTCAAGAAGATATTGATCCGCCAACAAAGTATAGCTACATCCATCCCTACATCTTTCTTTCTTTAGCTCTGTCTAAGAATGTGTGGTTACTTGTCGTAAAGTATGTAAGATACATAATTCACAACATAATGAACCCTCAGCGCACATGCGCAGGGAGGGTTACAGTAGTTGGTTTGTCTGTCTGTGTGTGTGTGTGTTGACGCTTATTCTGGCACTACAGGCTACATCTACAGAGTGGAAATTGAACTGTACCTGTAATAATAACACAGTCCTCATTATCCCTTGCAGATGTGGGGACCACTCAGCATGCATGTGCATGTACGAGCGTTACACCGCAGCCGGCAGTGTATGGTCTGTTGCAAAATACACAAAATGCCAACGCGTGCATGTTCCAAAGGTTTACACTTTAGTGCTTTTCATTGTACTGCAGTTACACGCTTCAGTATTTCAAGGTGAAAGGCTACAGTCTGACAGTGGTGGGACTGACATGTACGATCACATCACTGCTGATAATGACAGACTGGCAGGCCATTGGCAGCGATCCCTGCACAGAGCACAGTCTGTTCCACCATCCACAACTGGCCGACCAGTACAGACTAGAGCTAGCAGAGTCTAACATCTCAGAGTCTGGGATGGTGAGTGTCCAGAGTCTGCAGGTGGTGGAGGGAGAGGTGTACCAGATGGCAGTCAACAGGTGTGAGTCTGCAGGGGAACACTGTCACTGGATACTCAACTCCCTAGTGACTGGGCAACACTGCAGTGACTGCCAGCCAATCTGTAGGAGTCCTAGACACACTCTCAACTTTGTCCAGTTCACAGTTGGTTTTAGTTTCTTCGTCTCCACGCTATCTAAGCATGTGGATACCCCACACGTTGAAAGTGTCACTTTTGCTCCTTCTGTTTCTTTCTGCAATTGTGTTTGATAAAGCAGGCAGTATTTTTTTCCAAGCATTCATCTTGTTTCATCGTCAAGCTAACTGAAATTTTGAAGGTGAGGTTGGGGTGCTTTTGTTATGCATTGTAGAATTTGCATTAGCAACCATGATCTTTTATACCTTTCCTTTTTTGTCCTCCACGTGCAAGCTTAATGTCCATGTGCTTGCTTGGCACTATAATTATGCACCTATAGAACCACGAAGACACTCGAATCTGCCGTCTTACCTATACAAATCTCCTTTACGGATGACTGCGCTTTCTTCTTTGGAGGCATTTTCCAGTCTGTCCCTATGATAGCTTGTGCTTTATCCAGTAGTAGAGACGTGTTTTTGACATCCCGTTTCTGTTGGTAGCAACACTAACCCCCCCCTTCCCCCCCTCCCCAATTACGTTAATACCCTTTCTTCACCTCCTGCATTGTATAAGCTAACTGTTCAGTGATGAACACCAAAAAGTGCTGCCCTAGGTGGGACTTGAACCCATGACACCCTGCTCTCTAGGCAGAGCCCTCTTCCCACCCATATACCAGGGCAGACCTACTACAATTGCTGAAGGTTAGAAGGCAAACTAGAAATTGTTACTCACAGTAAATTTCTTGCAATCAGAAAGATGAGCTGATATATAATACCAGGTACAACATACAGTTTGAAAGTTCCCAACATAACATAATCGTTGGCATGTTGTCATATCATTTGATACCCTCCCGCGTCCCCCAGATATACATTACAAGAACTTAGCCTCTTGACCGGTACAAGTTAACAACTGCGTACATTTTCTTATACAAACAAGGAATATCTATATCCGTGCCTGAAGCTCTTTCCTTTTCTATCACGTTTTCCACTTTCTGCTTACACAGACCAAATTTCTCCATTGAACACCAGTACTTACGTATGTCAGTGAGTTTATAAAAAAAAATATACACACATTTTTGTTAAGTTCCTGAAGTAAGCTCAATGTATGTTAAGTAGTTTAGAGCTACATGCGTACAAGGTTAATTGTGTGTGAACAGAGCTGCCTGAGGTTATCCTGCTGCCCTTCTCTAACATGTGAACGATACCAATAAGTTTCAGTATGTGCGATGAGGGGCAGTGTACTGTCGACCTTTGTAAATCGGTAAAGTCATCTTGTTTGTCTCAATGTGCCCTCATTTTTGGGAGCCTTAGAGGCCTCAAGATGGATTCTATGAATTTGCATCAAAGATACATATACACTGACACTGTTGTATACAGACCCCACATGCATAAGCAGCAAGAAGCCCGATGTGCACGTTACCTGCACATTCCATCACAGTGCTGCCTGCTACTTTGAGATAAGTGTAGGTGAGCATAAGTGTATGAATGGTATGCAGGGGGGAGGATGAGAATTTCGTAGTAAGATCATGCTTCTCTAGAACTGGAATAGAAAAGTGTGAGATGGGCAATCTAGCAAGCCTTGCTATTTTGAAACTCGGAAAGGTTCAAAACATTGAGCAGCCTCAAACAAGAAACATTGTGCTTTTCTTACCAGCAGACAAGAAGCCGTGAAACCATGTTTGTGTAACTACTTATAATTATAGGTCTTTGTACATAGAGAGTTGTAGAAGTGAGAAAATTGGAGTTGGGTTCCTTTCCTAGACACTGCACACTCTGTCCCGAAATGTTTTTGGCTAGGAATGAGCTTATTACCCTGAAACATCCCTGGAATGTATGAAATTGAAGCGAGTTCATGTGAATAGTATGACTAGTACTTGTTTATTGTCGGCATGTGGGTAAGGCCACTCCAAGTTGTATACCGGTTTCTAGTCCGCCGCCCGCACCACATTTCAAGAGAACACAGTTTTGGTCATTATTAACTGCGCATGCTCCGCTGTGTGTACTAATGTTTCGTTTTGACAGTCTTCCCACTATGAATTTTTGTGGTCACATAATGAGTAAAACCGCCCGCCCGCATCTTGACTTGAAAAGGCCCTGACCAGAAACTGGAATGCAACTTGGAGTGGCCTAACCAGGAATGATGGAGTGATATTACATAATTACATGCCATAACGTATCAGTGTTTTCAGATAGCACCTTCTTCCTTAGAAAGTGGGCATTGGGCTTCAGCTTACTTCCCTTGCATCAGCTATACACGCGAAATCCAGAGAGAAAACTTTCCAAAGCTTTGCTCTTTGAGATGGGTGCACTTAGGTGAGGGAAGAGTGAAATTTGAAGACAATCTTTATTGGACTAAGGGGAAGAGACTGAGAATCTATTGCCCAAAGCACTGCGCTACAACTCAAAGTCATTAGCTAACTGATCCCTGCAATTTGTCCCAACAATCAATGGAGAAATTAAACCTAAACCTCCAAGGATAAACTAGCTGAAACTGGAGAAGCGTCCAGTAGCCAACTTCACGTGCCTTTATCTTCGCGCTGGAAAGGGGGACAGCGTCCGGACAAAGTGCAAGGCAGAGAGCAGATGTTGAAATTTCATACAGGTACCGTTTAATTAAAGAGTTCAGGAAGCACATGCGGGCGTTGTCCAAAACATGAGCTATGCCGTGAAGACTATCTAGACCCAGGCGCAACGCGCGATAAGTACTCCGGGTGTGACGTCAAAAGCAATTATTTCGTCACGCTGACGCTGTGTAATCATACCGGTCGGAGCTTTTACGTCCGCACACTACCCTTCGATATCTTATAACAACAGTGAGGAATCGCGGTAGCTGGCTACAGAAAGCAGAGTGAGTGCATGGGCCTGTAGCCATCGATTTACCCCGGGTGTTGCAGCAAAAAGGCTTTACCGGTGACTTGTGGTCATGAAGAATTGGCTGGCCTTACTCCCCTGCGCCTACCTTGGTAAAGACAGACAGGAGCCAGACTATGTAAAAGGTAAGTGTTAATAATAGTAAAAAGAACGTTGCTATAATATTATGACCGCCGTAGCAAAGAGAGATGTACTTCGGTTGAAGTTCAACTGGCTGTTTCTAGTGTTGGCTTCTACAGTGAGGGCTATCAATTACACCTGTGTCATACCCACCAATCACCAGTTCATCATCAACCCCACCACCAAGACTCTCAATATTACAAACGAGGTAACTTACGTGAAGGTCACATTGTTAATAGGAGCCTGGTTTGAGTGGATTATGAGTCTCCCCCACCAGTGTGTATGCACACAGAAAGTCATACATTACTCCACCCCTTTGTCTCAATTAATATCGTGGCAGTGCATGGGGTAAAGTGTTTCCATTTGTGGCAGAAGTGGAGGAGTTGGAGACTGCCACTCCTGCACGACTTACGCCAATGCCTGTGGCTTCCTGTGATAGCTAAAACCTAGGCAATATTTATGTGTGAGGCAATGCTGCCCTAAGTAAACTGCTGGGAACAAGTTGCAAGCACTTACATAAGGAGAAGCATCTCCTGGGTACAGTAAAGTCAAAATGGTGTTGGTTGTATGTTATTATGTCATATTCCTTTCTGGGGCTCCTTCTTCCCTCCAGAACATAGAGCCTGGCTTGGAACAGAGTGAAACCTTCTACTCCCTCACCTATGTGGTGCTGTTTTCTACCTTTACCATAGCAGCAATTGGTACTGGACTTCTCTTCAACCACGTACCAACCTGGTACCTGTTCATGTTCTCAACACTCTCTCATACTCTGGGCTACCTCCTGTATGCACTGGCCACCAATGGCTGGCTAATGATACTGGCTCGTGGTCTGGCTGGTGTGCAGCTTGCTGCTAGTACATCCCTAGTGTTCGCCTACTGCTCTGTGAGCTTTGAGAAGTACACTGAGAATCTGAAGATACTTGGAAAATATGAGAAGAAAGAGGCAGAGAGAGTAAAGGGATATATTTTCAGCTTGTTCATTGTCGGAAATATGCTTGGATATGCAATTGGAATTGGTAAACTGTAGATCACTCATAGAAGCTAGTTGGTTTGTTGCAGACATTTTCCACCTTCAGCCATTCCTTGTCCAATACTCCTGTATTACATGCACCCTTACAAGGTCTATCATGCTAATACTTACTACTTACAAGGTCTATCAACCACAAAGGAAGGGTGCATGCCATATCATTAGGGTGGGATTGTCAATTAAAATCACTCTTTTCCTAGGTTTCCCAGTAATCCTGGCACAGTTTCCAAACACTCCTCAGTTCAGACCTCCTGCGTGGTTCTGTGTAGCTGTTGGTGTAGCACTGTTACTGCTACAGTTTCTTCTCTTCCACGGAGAGAGTACCTGGCACTGCTCCAGAGGCCATTCAAAGAAAACGCTATCTATTAGAGGACACTGGTCTAAGAAAAATGTTACTTTCTGTCAGGTATTTGTATCCACACATTAGCTATGAAAAGTTGTACAACTAACAGCTGTGCTTAGCACATTCTGTTAGTACAGATATTAATAATAAGTACCATCTCCTGAAAACATGTCACTTTCTGTCAGTTGCTGAATTCATTAAGGTAATCATGTTCACAGGAAGAATTTTCCTTAACTTGCTATGTTTGTACAAGGTACCACTTTATGTGATGTTTGTTGGAGGGGTGAAAGGAGTACGCTATGTTTTGCCTGAAGTCTTGGTGAATCCAATCCTGAGTGATTCATTTGGGTTTTCTGATGAGAAAACTTCACTGTTTCTCCTTATCATTGTCTTCAGTGTCCCTATTGGAACAATATTACTGTGGGTACAACTATAGCTAATTGACTAGCGAAGCTAGCCTCCATGTCGCCTCAATGTGGGATTTTTCTTACTTGGGCACTGCCACTGTACATACCAACATATGGAAATGTTTCCACTCGCGTTTGCTCCCCAAAAAAATGCGTTTGAGTGTAATTTGGGGAGTGGAAGTAGCCTACATTTGTTGGCAACTGGCGAAGTGTTTCCACACATACAGTTAATTGGCGAGAAAAGCCAGCTAACTTAGTCGACAGGCTCTGTGACACTGCACATACGGTAATCGGAATACTCGTGTTCGCTGGCCTTCTCGTGCCGAAACTGCATGTGTTGTGCTCGCATACTTACCAACCATCCAGCTTTTTGCTTGATAATCAAGCAACAATACTGCCTCTCCCACCAGAAAATTGCCATATCCCTCTTTGTGTGCTTACCTATGATGCACCATGCCTATACATTTTGAATGGACACACAGCATTTTCAAGAAAAATACTCCAAATCAAACAAATTAGACACATTCTTAAGCAAGGGTTCATCTGCAGGTTGGTAGGTATGTGCTCGAGGTTCGTACCCTTGCTCAACTACAGGTAGGACCATATTAAATTTTGCGTGACACCTCAAGGACTCGCATGCTACGGTGTAGGCACATGTGCCGCCTGGGGGAGGGAGGTGGAAGGAAACAAAGGCCACGGAATCCATTAAACATATGCGAGTGAAAGACCTTGGTTGTTAGGCTAGTTCGGTTTGCATTGTTATATGCTTTTCATTATATTGCAGTTACACACTTCAGTATTTCAAGGTGAAAGGCTAAGTCTGACAGTGGTGGGACTGACATGTACGATCACATCACTGCTTATAATGACAGACTGGCAGGCCATTGGCAGCGATCCTTGCACAGAGCACAGTCTGTTCCACCATCCACAACTGGCTGACCAGTACAGACTAGAGCTAGCAGAGTCTAACATCTCAGAGTCTGGGATGGTGAGTGTCCAGAGTCTTCAAGTGGTGGAGGGAGAAGTGTACCAGATGGCAGTCAACAGGTGTGAGTCTGCAGGGGAACACTGTCACTGGATACCCAACTCCCTAGTGACTGGCAAACACTGCAGTGACTGTCAGCCAATCTGTAGAAGCACTAGACACACTCTCAACTTCGTCCAGTTCACAGTTGGTTTTAGTTTCTTCCTCTCCACTGCATCACTAATGTATATTGGGGTGTTCATCTTGGTGGCAAACTCTGTGACCAAACAACTTCAGGTGCCATACATTAATCTACAGTACATCACTGACGTGTTTTTTATTTGTAGGGAATAAGTGCTGGTGTGACCACAGCTCTGATGGGAGTTGCGAGAGGTGTTGTTCCTTTGATAAGTAAGCTGGCTATAATAAGGTTAATGTATGATACTGTAATTGTTATTGCAGTGGATGTTGTGTATGAGCATGTACAGAAGCGGACTTACCTGGTGATGCTGATTCAAGTGGGGTTGTTCCTATCATTACTGATTGGATTGCTCTTCCTCTATCCCTGGCTGGCAGGGAGTCGTAAGATTGACTACTCTCAAGAGAATCTGGAACAGATGGAGGAGGAGGAGGAGACAACTGGACTAATGACAGAAAACGCAGAGCAGTAGATATGCTTGTTGCTTGTTACTCTTGTCTTAGGAAAGACACAAGGGTCCTTATCGCAGCAACACACACAAAGCTACATGACATCATCCGGTGTCATGTATACAGCTTGTGTGTCTTTGCCTGTGTAAGACCCTTGTTTCTTTCCTTTTTCGTACTTTGATATAATCCCCTTCGTTTTGAAGAAATGGTGTTTCTACTTGTTTAATTTATGTACTTAAAATGGTTAGATTGCAAGTCATAGGAAACCATGTACGTGGATTATGAGGCCGAGGCCGGGGCTGTGGCATTCCGAGAGCAGAGAGAACGGGCTAGAGGCTTCCTAAATCGTGTTGAGTATGCCAAACGGCCATACTCTAAGTACAGCGCAGTGATGTAATGTAAAGAGCTTGCCCTTGAAGAGGTCTTATATATTACCTCATGAAGAGCTACGTAACTGCCTGACAGTACAGTGAACACATTTTCAGTAGGATGGAATAAATGAGGAAGCCTACAATAGAGAGCCCCTCCATTTGCCATTGTTTGTGGCCCAGCTTCTTAGCTGACATTGCATAATATAGTCAGAATTTGCCAATGAAACCAACATTCAGAGCAATGTCATCCCTAATACTATAGTTATGTGGTTGTGAATGATATTGGGAGAACAGAGAGCTCCTCCCTTCACAACCCTCCTTCTCTGTCACACTGACAACCCTCCAGCCAGTGGTGCCAAAGGGGCAAGTAGCCAGGACAGAAATTCAATGGTCGTGAGTCGCGAGGCAGAACTATGGTCAGTCAAACTCCTATGAAGAGATGTGCTGGTGTGTGATTACCAGCAAGGCACAAGTGGAACAGATATAGCTAGCTACTTTGCTGGACTCTTACTTTGAGGGCGGACGTGAGTAAAAGCAAAACGTCACACCTTTTCATAGGGGATATTGAAATTGTTGGGACAATCACAGTGACAGTGGACTCTGACCTCAATTGAGCCAGTCATCACTTCACCTTGGCCTGCTACCACTGTGACTTGGACCAGAGACTCCACCACTTTCATTGAGGGAAACACGTGTGTGTTGGAGGACCCCATGGCTGCACACTACTTCCTTAACATTAGTACGAAACTGTTTTCTCCTTAGTTGATTATCTTACTGACATTGCTTCAATATTTATTTTTGTTGGTTATTTCAATTTTCCAGATATAGATTGGTCCTCTTTTATACCTTATCAAATTATGTGAAATTGTGTAACCTAACTCAGCATGTATCTGAGTCTACTCATGTAAAGGGTGATCTTGAAGTTACTTCTCCTGACATCATCATTGACTATTAATTTATCTATCGCTATTTTCAGATCTGTGTCACAAATTGATGTTGTATATTAGGATTTCAGGAAAACGTTTTGATTCCGTTGCTCGTAATGAACTATTATTTAACTTTGGAATGTCGGTAAATGTGACAGTCTTTGGATGTGGATGAGGGCCTACCTGAATGTCGCCGTGGTTTGCGTATATACCTTGAAGATGGACTGCTTCCTACGGATAACCAAACAGCATGACGGTTATGGTATATATATACTGGGAGGAAAACGCGCCCACCACTAAAGTCGATCCCAGTTGGTGGCCCCTTTGAGATGATTTGGGTTGACGTACTGCAACTGCCGCTCTCCCATTGTGGAAACCAGTATATGCCGTGGTATTCCAAGACTATCTGCGGTAGAGTGCGGCCGTAGCGGCGAAGAGAGGTCTCGGGGTTTGTAGGTAGCGAAATGATTATTTCACACACACAGCCTCCTGAGGGCTGAGTAGCTGACTCTTTTATACCCATGGTGAGGAGGGAAGACAGGTGGAAGAGTGGGGTGCATGTAAGGGAGTAATAGGTGGTTGTAGTAAAGAAGAGGAAGCTGCTATTAACAGCTGTGGGCATGGCATATGGTGGCCCTTTGAGTGAGGTACAATAGTGGGAGGTAGAGAAGAGTGGTGAAAGGTGCTCAAAGGGGTGAGGAATTACAACACAGGAGTGAGCCAGCTACTCTATCTAGTGGATATTGGTGAAGGGCTGCGTCCAACTGTTCCTATTCAGCTAGTGAGCCTGTGTTCCCACGCAGTCCTTCACATTCCCCCCTCCTTCTCCAGCGACGAAGTCGTATCGTCGGCTGCGAAGGCCCGCGAAAGGGCATCGGCATTCCCGTTGGCTGTTCCGGTGCGGTAACGCACACTGAAATCATATGGTTGCAGGGCCAAGCTCCACCGCGTTAGCATCGCGTTGTTATCTTTCAGCTGGTAAACCCTGAACGCGTGAGTAGCTAGTTTAATTGCCAGGCACTCTTTTTCTACTGTGGAATAACGGGTTTCTCTTGGCAAAAGCTTGCGGCTGAAGTATGCGACCGGATGCTCCTGTCCATTCTCGTCGGTTTGGCTGAGAACTGCTCCTACCCCACGGTCGGAGGCGTCGGTCTGCAAGGTGAACACTCGATCGAAGTCGGGGCTTCTCAGTATCGGTTGCGAACACAGCGCCTCCTTAAGAATGTCAATTAGTCACGCTTAGGGAATGTCACCTTCCGTCATTCGTAACAAGTCTAGCTTCCGCCGTGCGCGCAGATTCGTAGGAAGTCTGGCTTCGCGCGCAATCAGTAGAGCGCGCGCACGAGCGGCCTCAGTCCGACTGTTTACGCATTGGCTGGCAGGCGCGAAGCAAAATATGCGCGTGCGCATTCCTAGTTATATATATAGTTAACCCTCGGCGCGCATGCGCAGCGAGGGTTACGGTAGTTGTTTCGTAAGTGTGTCTGTCAGTCTGTCAGTCTGTCAGTCTGTCTGTTACCACGTTTTCTGCCACCGCGCGCACGAAATCAGGTAAATAGCAATATGATCGGGTTCAGTGCTACACTGGGTTGATTTTAAAAAAGGCGATTTTCATAAAACTACTGCGTTCTAAAGTTATGGCGTGAAAAGCAAGTGAACAAGCCAATATGGTAATTAGCACAGGCTTACCTCGACCGCTTCCGCTCGCTCTGTGTATCTTGAAGGCACAAGAAGTCACAACGAAGGGCATGTATCAACTCCCGCATACAATCTACTACTGTAGCTAGCCCGTGCCAGACTCTCCGCGAGCTACTAACGGGATACAACGAGTAAAGAAAAGAAAAACCCAGCCCATCAATTAGTGGTACCGCGCAAGCGCAGTTCGCCGAGGGTTTGCACTTTAGTGCTTTTCATTATATTATTGATAGAAGCCGAAGACACGACTAGGTGGGCTCCGCTCGCCCAATAATAATTATATAGAAAATTCCGCTCGAACGAACGACTAGGTTGGCTCGCTCCCGCTCGCCAATTATGATGGATTGGTATGCTCGCCTTTTTTTGCTCTTGAGCCTACAAAAATAGCATAATACTGCATGGTTTATGCACATCAGACAAGGGGGGTCACTTCAGTCACCAACAATGACAAAAGGGTCGGGGAAGATCGACTTTTTATTTTCTCTTGGCCCATGGCCGGCTGGCAGCTCTCCACGGGAGGCTGGAGGTGGTCCAACTGCTACTGCAGCGGTGTGACTACGAGGCAGACCCCAGGGACACCAGCGGTGTTACTCCTCTCATGGACGCTGCACACGGAGGCCATGTCAAGGTGCTGCAAAGCCTCTTACAGCACAACAAGGTTTGTTCTATATACATCGCTTACTGCGTTTGTGTTGAAGATCTCCCTATGGTGAACCCTTTCGTATGTGCTATCGTTTCTCTCTCTTGGGGAAGAGTTAACTTATGAGGGCAGCGCTCAGCTTTAGAATGGCTATTAAGAGTGTGAGTGCTAACTTTGATTGTATAATGGACATGCACTGAGACTTACTAATGGTCAGGTGAGTGCATTTAGGCAACCGAGAATAGCGTACAAGTGATGAATCATGTGAAATACGCGTCAGTACAAAAGTGGCTGTGTACATTTCATGCATATAGTTTTCAACGCCTCTGACTGGTCAGAAGTCATGTCACCAGCACAAAAATCTGTGTGTTTCTCTTTGCACATAATGGTTTTTCCCTGCACTTGTTGAAACTCCAAGGGCTTTTTATACAAATGTATGGAATATGCAGGGTTCCCTGGAGGCGGAGGACTTGCAGGGAAGGCGAGCAGTCCACCACGCAGCCCAGGCAGGAGATAACAGTAACAGTGCCCTCTCACTGCTCCAGCGAGAGGGAGCTAGCATTGAGGCTGTAATCGTCAACACTGGACAGACTCCACTCCACTGTGCAGCAAGAGTAAGGAAATTAGCGTAGTGCTGTAGTTTATGCACCATCTACTTAGCCACCAGCATTTAATGAGCTGCAGTAACAACACTATACCTAGCATATTTGTGTGAGCAGGAGTTATGATGCTACATGCAGCAGAAATAACTACACAAAATGAATGTGTAAAACACTTGCACACGGTTATACCCCATTTTGTGTACACAATGGATGTCCAGAAGGCAAACACATGCATGACTAGTTATGCCTGAGCATGCACAGTCAGCCGCTAGCGTTCGTGTCTTGGTGGGGAACGGAGCATCATAGCCGAGCATTGCCTGTCTAGGAACATGCATTACCACCCTCACTCATTCAGGAGGGCCAGGCGGGGACCATTTCTACACTGCTGTCCCTGGGAGCTGACCCAAAACTCACTGACAAGACAGGAAAGACTGGTGAATGAAATAACTGGAGGTTGTCACAGATAGTAACTGGTGCTCACTACTACTATGCATACACAAAGTTTTGATTGGAGGGTTGTATAGTGTAACCACTGTATAAACCTGCAAAAATGTGACCATTAACCCTCGGCGCGCGCATGCGCAGCGAGGGTTACAGTAATCGTTCTGTCTGTCCGTAAGTCAGTCTGTCCGTCTGTTACCACGATTTCTGCCACCACGCGCAACAAACAGGTAAATAAGCGACACCAGCGGGTTAAGCGCTACACTGGCTTTATTTTGAAATAGGCGATTTTCGTAAAAGTGCTTCGGAGGCACAAGAAGCCACAACGAAGGGCGTGTATCAACTCCCGCATGCTATCTACTACTGTAGCTAGCCCGTGTCAGACTCTCCGCGAGCTAGATCACGAGTAAATATAATAGGCCCAGTCCATCAATTTAGCGGTACCGCGCATGCGCAGTTCGCCGAGGGTTTGCACTTTAGTATTCTATTGTAGGTCACCTTTCTAGCGACAATAGAGGGTAAGTGTGAGTGAGAACGTACAATATGGGGTCCAGACATTCAAAAATGAGATTGTAAAGAAGTTATTTGCACAATTAGTGTTACTGATAACTGTGCTGGAACCGACATAAAAAAGGGGTTTATATTATAGTGAGGCGAAGAATAATAGCTTCTTTGTTTCATGCGTGCTTTCTCTCCTCTCTCTCCCTCTCTGTGTTTTGTCTAGCTCTAGATGTGGCACGGCAGGCCAGGAACGGAGCGGAAGCAGTCAAGGTATATACTGGAAAA